CTCATAATTCCTGTATTTACAGGGATAGCCATTATTAATACTAGAATGTATATAACTCTAGACATGAGCCTTAATATATTCAGGTATTCACATTTATACACTTAGTGATTGCCAAGAGAAAAAGGCATTAAGATTTTACCATGTAGCAGGCACTGTACTGTTTCACAAATACTACTTCATTTAAAACACGCTATGAAGTAAATTATCCCAACCAATTACATAGTTGAGGAATTGGAAGTTCAAGTCTAAGATCACATAGCTATCAAGTAGAAATGTCTAGCTCCAAACCTGCATCTGTTGACTACAGATATTAATTTTTATTACTGTATCTCTCATCTTGTGCATCTGATTTTTTTTACATCTAAAATTGTAATTGTCATTGTTGAAATATTCACTTATTTACTTATAACCATGGTTTAATGTCTAACCAATATTCCATTTACAGAGTTCCAAAATATTTCACCATTCCTATCTCATTAGACATTTCAATTTGGTTTTGTTTATTTTCGATTTTTTATGAGAATAAACAACATTGCAATGAATATCCTTGTAGATAAATCTTACCGTACATCCTTATTTATTCCTAATGATGAATTTCTAGGAGTACAGCGCCATGCAAAAATTTTGTGCTTTCAAGAGTAACATCATGTTTCCCTTCAGAAAAATTACACCAAATTACATACCTTCCATCCATACGTACCTCTGTCTGGGTCCTAAAACTTCACTTAAAAAGCAAAACAAAACAAAATAAATAAACAAAAACCACAGAAAAACACGACTTTTCCAATCACCGTATCATCTCAGAGACAGAAGATACCTTAGCAGTCATTTTTCTAATGTCCTACACATTATGGACCTCTTTGATAGAGCGTCCCTGATCTAGGGTACCTGTCCTACAATGCTTAGAAAGTGGCACAGAAAATAAAGAACAGTTTTAAATACCCCTAAACTTCACAGCACGTTTTTCACCTCTCTGCAATGAAAAGCTGTCCAAACTACTTTAAAATGTATCCACACGGAGACCCTCATTGGAATTGAGGAGACTTTGACAGGCTTTCAACATACTTGACACAGGTCATGAGATGCTAAAGATTTTTTGGTCATTCTCCACCTGGAATGAGTTTGCTCTAGGCGTTGGCGGCTGAGTATGTATCTCTTGTTCTATGCAGTTGTCCAACAGCATGGTTTCCCTTGTTTCTGGGAACTCAGCAAGCAGAGGTAGGCTGGTCAGTGGGAGAAGAAAATTGTCTAGAAACACAAATGAATTACATCCTTTTACGTTTCTAGGTCAAGGGGGCTGTGAGTAGAACTATATATGTGTCCTCCTCTGCCACAAACTTAAAATTCATCACACAAGTTCCTTTAATTCTGGAGACACTGAGATTTAGCTGTGTTTAAAGGAGGAAACAACCTGCAACTGCTTAAGCTTTCCTTGAGTACCCATTAGCTACAAAACCAGGCAGGATGTCGCAGTGGAATCCTAAAAGGGGGTTGGGGGCGGGGTTGGAGGTAATACAGGTGAGTGAGCAAAGCAGCAGAAATCTATGAAAAAAATCTCTAAGTATGTGAACTCTGTAAGCAATTGGCAAGTATGATGGTGGCAGCAAAGAGAAAGGGAAAAGTGATTCTGCCTGGAGTGAGGGGTTAGGTAAAAAGAAGGTGGCATTTGTAGATGCTGGAAGGCTTGTTCATCTGACCCAAATTGCTTGTTTGTTTGTGTATTCAATTATCTAGTTAGGTGCGGATCTGATGAATAATTTAAATCATGACATAGGAACTACTAAAAGCAGTAATTTGCTTTAATCTTAACAAACACACGCACACACACACACACACACACATACTTTCTTAGGGTCTCTATACACTACACACTCCATTTTGGCTGTACATTCCAAGTTTTCCCTGCAATGGGAAGGCAAATCCAATTCTCCAAACACCTTCTGCTTTAGGAAACTGGACTGGTTGGGGGTGGGGATCAGGGGCCCCGACTCATCCCCCAAACTCTGGGCTTCAGGAACTGCAGGGGATCGTTCTGATATTCGATCACGGAGCGTTCAGGGGGGATACCTCACTTTGCTCACCCTACCCCCAACAGCCTAGTGCAGTGCTTGGCACCCGACCGGCAATCATTTGTCAAGTAGATTTTAGGCATCCGCCTTTTCCCCCCTGGAGGACAGGCAACCCATCACCCTGTCACGCTTCCTCTACCGGTTTTATTCAGCTCGGATCTCACTAGTTAGAAAACCAGGAGAAAGAATGGGGCCGTAGCTTCCTGAGCGCGGAGCTGGGCCCCCGCGGGGCGGGGCGGGGCGGGGCGGGGGTGCTCGCAGGCCGGCGGGGAGGCGGCTGGAGCCCGTCGTGCTCCCGCCCCAGCTCCTCTCCCGCAGCGGCCGTTCCGGACCCTCCACGCGGGAGGCGAGAGGGCAGCGCGGGCGCGGCGGCGGCCGCGCTCCCACTGCCACGTTCATTCGCTGCTGCTTCTCCATCCCCTGCCTCCTCGCCCCTCCTCCCCTCCTCCCTCACCCCAGCCGGGCTTCGGAGGCGATTCCCCTCTAGTGACTGAGACGATCGCAGCTGGGCGAGCGGCGCTTCGCCTCCCTCGCGTCTTTGTCTCCTCCTCCTGCGAGGCTCCGGGGCCGCGCGCAGGGTCTGCAGCAGCCGCCGCAGCCGCCGGAGCCCAGCGGGGCTCTCTCTGCGCGGCCGCCCGGGGCCGCACCCTCGCTCGGCGGAGGCGCCGGAGGACGCCGGCGAGCCCCCGCGAGCCAGCCCCGCGAGCCAGCCCCGCGCCGCCCGCGTCCCGCGCTCGCCGCCGCCGCGACCCGGCCCAGCCCTCCCGGCCGGCGGGTTGGGGTGGGCGGCCCGGCAGCCGCGGGGTGGGGAGCGCGGCCGCCGCAGTTCTGGCAGCGCACACCCCCAGGCAGACGCATCCAACGCCTCCTCCCTGCGCCAGGAGGATGGAGCAGCCACGCCGGCCCGGGACTGGCGCAAGGTAAGGTGCAGCCGCCTGTTGCTTTTCGCAAAGCGCGGTGTCGTCCCTCTGCCCGGGTGCCTAGGCCGCCCCTTCCTAACAAGTAGAGGGGAACTATCACCCCAGGTCAGAGCCATGCCCAAACCCCCGGCCCCCTGGGCGCACACCCTGGAAGAGACCTCTCCTGGCGAGTGGGAGTCGACCCCTCCGTTCGCGTGCAGCCGGCTGCCATGCAATAGTCTGCAAACTTTTGTGCCCCCCTCCCTGCGCGGTGCTCACCTCGTGCCGAGCAAGTTGCACGTCTAGTTCTCGGTGCGCCCTTCCCCCAGTCTACCCCACTACCACCCCCTGACGTTTGCATCTGCCCATTTCTCTCTCGGTGTTCTTGCTGGTCGACTTTTCCACTCCCTGCAGCTCCCGCTGGAGCGGCGAGGCTTTGGGACCCAGCAATGCTTATCCTGCCCGTGGGGGGCTGGAGAGGAGCGGAGAGAATGAAATAGGAGGGGTGGGACGTTTTGGGGTGGGGAGGCTGCGGCTAGCCTTGGGGCTCTGCCTAGCGCGGCGGGAGTCGGTCCATCCTTGCGAATGCCACCCCCAACTCGGTAATGAAACCCTCGGAGTGGCTTGCGGCTGTGTGCCGCGGGAACGGCAAGTGCAGATGCGGGTGGGTGAAGTAAGTCGTTCGGGGAGGGGAATGTTGCTGGAGGGGTGGGGGAGGAAACCGAGGGTCGGGGGTACACCTGGTTGAAAGGGTGCCAATGGGCTCTGCTTTTAGAGTGGGCGAGGGGCCAACCCTGAGCCGTCACCTGACGTGGAGGAAAAGGGATTTGAGCCCCGGGGGCTCTGGGCCGGGCGTGTAAATACAGACGGGGGAGGGGCTGGGCACCTGGGGAGGCGCGGAGAGGCCGAATGGAGCCCAGGAATGCCCGCGCCCGAGGGGGACTGGGGAAGGCCGGCTTCTGGGTGCCTGGGATGGGGCGATCTTCCTTCCTCTCCAGGAGAAACAAACCTCCCGGCGAGATTCTGAATGCGTTAGCATCTTAGGCGGTGACTGAGTGGTCGGATCCTGGACCAGGGGATGCCTTCCCTGGCTCTAAGAGGACCTTAGTCCCCTCTTTCTCCCGCACCCACTTATACACCCTTCGATCTCCGCAGCCAGGTCGGTAGACCCACGCCCACCTTCCCTGCCGGGCGCTCGAGAACCAAAGCGGTCTGCACAGCCGCAGGGTGGGAAGGGGATTCCTGGCCCCCAGGGGAGGCGTGCGCTAGGTAGGGGGGAGTCCCCAGCGCCCCGCGAGTAGGCAGGGGTTCGAACCGTTTGGAGGAGAGCGCAGGGGCGGAGGCTGCCGCGGGAGCCACCTTCCTCCCCCACCCCCCGCCCCTCCGCCAATCGCACCTGGGCGGAGCGAGGGAGTGGGGGAGCCCCGCGCTGCTCCCGCAGGCTCCAGGAGCGCAGAGCCGGCGGGCGTGCGGAGCAGGGCGAGGGGGTGTGGGCATCAGGTGAGGGCAGACTTGGCTTCAAGGCCCGGGGCCCCCCGGGCAGCGGTGGGTCTGTCCGCGTTCTGCCCCTACATAGATCCTTCTGGTTGTTCCAGACGCTTTGCGGGATGCAGGAAGGCGAGGTTCTTTGCTCCTTTGCACCCCAGCAATCCGGAACGCAAGACCGCCGGCGGGAGGGGGCCTAGACTGCTGTGGCATGAACGGGCGGCCCCCGGGCTCCGGCGTCCAGGTGCGGAGCACACAGGGCCCCCGAAGGCCCGGAAGCACCTCTTTTAACCCTTCCCTCTCGGAAGAGGTGCACGCCCCTCTCCCAGCAGCGCCTTTGGCTGGGAGTCCGGTCCCGGTTCCCACTGGCCCACAGGAGAATTTGGAGGTTGCGTGGGTCTGGAGCTGTTTCAAGCCCCCTGGCCCTGCCTGCTCCGGCCTCCCACGTGCAGGCTTTTTGGGGCACAGCCGTCTCTGCGGGTTGCCCTGTATAAGTCTGCTGCTCTTCCGTAACCAGCTGGCAGAAAGCAGAGCTCAGCGCAGTCCCCTTTCCTGGGCGCCACGCCTGGGCCAGACCCTTCTGGAAGAGACCGTGGACTCTTCAGGGCTCCGGGGAGGAATCCTGAGGTCGGTCCCTCCCATCCTGGGGCACCCCTGGAGCAGCGAACTCCCAGAGCCCCAAGGAGCGGGAACGGGGATTCCCTCAGCGCAGACTCCGGGTGCAGCTCCTGAGCACAAAGGCCACACCCTCACAGGCCAGGCGACGTGGGGATAGAGCGTGGGCTTCTGCCGAACTACCTGGACACCTGAGGTAGGATCCCAGAATTAAGTCCCTCACCCCGGGAAGAGTTAGCTTCCAACACCCTTGGGCCCATTTCCTTCTGGATGCTTATTACCTAGGTTTGTGCTCAGGCCACTTCCCTTTGCATGTAGAAACAGGTTGGAACATGTCCCTGGGGAACTCTTGAAGGAAGACTTCAGATCCACACCAGAGTTTCCCTCCCACCATTGCTGAGCTCTGGGGGGAAACAGGTAGTAATAATAATCAGCGCTAGTATTTATTGAACTCTTACTCTGTGCCAGGCAAGCACTCTTCTTGATATTTCGCGTGAACTGTTTTAGTTTTACTCTTCACAACCACCTTGGACGACTAAGTTATTTTTTCCCCCATTTTATGGGTAAGAAAACTAAGCCATGGGGAAATGAAGTTATTGGCTCTTTGTCATCCAGCAGTAAGTGGTGAAGCTAGTTAGTTCTTGTGGGTGGAGAACACTGGGTGTGCTCCCAGCTCCCAGCCCTATTTGGCGGTAAAGACCTTTTGTCCACAAGAAAGTATGGGTGAGGGTGAGGTGAGGTGAGCCCTTTACTCCAAATCCTGGAAACATACTATATACGTGCCAGTCCTTGCTATGGTCCGGGAAACTGAAGGTGCATATCGCCCCTCTGAGAAGTCTGTTGAGGTGCATCTGGGTAGGATGAGATCTTGGTTTTGGAATTAAATTTAGGGAACTGGCTGCTGTCAATGGACTTCTTTTCTGGACCTTTTGGTAGACATTCCTTTTTTAAATATGAGGAGAAATGGCAAGGAGGGAATTCAAAGGTGAGCAGAGATTCTATAGTCACAAACTACACAAGCTGTATTTTGCAAATGAGTCCCTTCCTAGTGATTGAATCACAGAATATTAGAGCTAAAGGGATCTCAGATAGCACTGGTCCCAATCCAGAGGCAGGGAAGATACTGGGCCATGTGCTCTAGGCTCAATGTGAGGTTCCTAGCATAGCTAGTACTAGAAGCACTGTCTTCTGACTCTTAGTCAAAAGAAAGTATGTTGGTGCATAAATAGATTATGCCGTCTGCTATTGTTTTACAGCCTCTTAAAATCAATTAGGGAAAAACTGTTTATCAAAAAACTTCACTTTTTCATAAATGCCTCAATCGGCATAACTAGGAAAAGTATCCTATAACGGATAAATCAGCACAAATGTGCCTCACTTGCAAAAAATTGCAACCCAGTACTTATACACCTTCAGATCAACAAGATCTAACTAACCATGCAGACCTTTAGATGACTCTAAATAAAATTAAATGGGATTTTCAATCATTTTAGCTGTCTTTTTGTCAAGTTGAGTAGCTCTGTCTGGCTTCACCCCCAAGTATTCGGGAAGATAAGAGAAATCCTCTTGAATACAGTGAAATGATTTGATATTATTTCTTCTGGATTTCTGACCCTTGGGTCCAACCTAGCTGATGCAAATCTGAGGCAAAACAGTATATTTCCCGTGCACATACTTGGGACTTATGAAGGGGAAAATAGTTATTTGCCATTTTCTCACCCACTGATCCCCTATAACAAAGGGACCTTCTCCAGCAGGTTAGGGGTTCCATATACCCCTAGGCATTCTTGTAGGACAGAATTCTGGTTTCTAAGAACATTCCATGTCTTTTATCTGAAGCTATAGTATCAGGATGTCCTGCCCTCAGAGACAAATCAAGAAAAAGTCAGCTGGAGTAAACAGAGAGGGGGACTGGGAAAAGCCTGTTTCTTAGAATCACATGAGGGGTAAGAATTATAGGCAGACAGATGGTAGAAACTTGGTGCCTTTTATGTTGCCTGGAGTAGGATTTCCATCCCTGATGTTGTGACAAGCCAGGACAGAAGCCCTCAGGCAGTAACTGGGGGTGGAGGAAGAAAAGATGAGGGTGGGGGAACAGTGCTATCAAGAACCTGGGGTAGGGATCCATGGAGGCTTGGCTGAGAAAGGGCTTAGTTAGGGGTGACAGGAATGGCCATGGTTAGCCTACACTAAGAGATACTCTTCCCCTTCCCTGCCTCCCCACCACCTCAGTTTGGCCATATGTGTTGGGTTGACTGATCTAAACCCCAGAGTCCCCAGTTATCTCAAGGGAAGCATTCACTTTCTAGAGAATTTATTAGAAATGAATATTGTTTTATGTAAGTCAGAAAAAAAAATACACAGTTACCCTAATCTTCAGGGAGAACTATGAAAAAATCAAATTATCCCAGAAGAGTAACCTTCTGGAGGTAAGGATTCTGGTGTAGTTAGATTATAGCAATGTGAGAGCAAAAAAAGATGTAACACTGAAATCAAGTATGACAAAATCCAAAAGAAAGAGTCTCTCCTTGAGGGACCACAGAAAGAAGAATCCTTTTTGATCTGGGCAGACATCCTGGTTCCCATCTCCTAGCTTTTCAGGGACAATAGGAGACTTACCTGGAGCTTCACCCTGTTTATGTGGTGGTCATGGTGGGCATCCTCTCTACCTATTTTGCTGTGGCTCCTAGGTGGTATAGTGTTAAAGGGCCCACACAGCATTTCTGCTGGGACAATTCTTTTTGCATGTATTTATCTTAAACCATATAAACTGATATCAGTTTGTTGGCAGAATAATGATTCCTGTTAAACAGCATGTTCTGGGGAAAAGGTTGTGAAAAAAATGAAGCCCTTTGTTCAGAATACAATGAGTAAACGCATTTATGCAATACATAGCATGAATTAAACTTCTCAGTTTGGGTTAGATATTTTGGTTAGAAAACAAAAACATAAGCAAGGACCAGAGCATCTGAACTTGACCTACTTTTAGCAGCAAGAGAAGCCACATAAGTTTCTGTGGAGTTTGAAGAAGATGTTGGCAGGGGGAAAAAAAAGAATCAATAGAACCTGAGAAGCTTTACTAACCTCATCAATTTTGTTTTAAATAAATATCTAATATCTTAATTCATGTTTAAATTTGAATGCTCCATATGATCAATAAATTTAATATTTTAACTGCAGATTGTGACTTTGATGAGCTTTATTCTACAAGTGGCTGGGAACCATGATGGAAACTCTTATAGTGTGACATACATATTAGTATATAACTATACATGTTACATAAAAAGCCAGTGAATTAATACCTTGCAACATGACCTATGAAATGGCCATTGTATGTGAGAATGAAGTTTGAGGTCTTCTCAAGAGCTAGCAGGCTTGGAATGCATTATTTTCTCAAAGGAGATGAGTTTATCATAAAGGCTATATAATTCATTTAAAACAAACAAATGAACAAATATTGAAAAAGAACCACCCAGATCAGTGAGATTTATAAAATTTGTGGTTTCAATTTATCCTGAGTTCTCTGAGCTGATTTTTATGTTAACTATCCAATGCAAGTATCACTATACTTTCAGACAGCTTTTTTTTAAAGACCTGTGCCTTTTCTTAGAAGTCAGAAACAAATACAAAAAAATAAAATATTGTGAGCCATGATCAGACACAGAATAAGCACCTGACAAAGCTAAGCATGTTTTCAAATGCAGATTAGTTTCTTTGTTTCTCTCTCTTTTCTTGCACTCTTCCCTTTTTTCCTTTCTTCCTTTCTCTTGTAGGCCATTGATATAATTTTCAGTCTACATGTGAGTATTTAATACTTTGCTGGGAGAGTTGTCTATTTCAGGACAAATATTTCCCCTGGTGAGGGCAGAGAGGAGGTACAGTGCACTTGTATGTTTGTCCAAAGCTAAAGCACAAAGGTCAGGAAGTCACACCAGCTTTCCCTCTAGTGTAACCTTTCCGATTTAGAAAAAGCAGTGCTGGTATAGGCCTGCTTACAGAGGGCTCACCTTGTTAGCAGTGACACAGCAGTATACTTTCCTTTTGCCGCTTTGGGAATTCATGCACTGAGAAGAATCCTGGTCCAGTCCTCTGACCTTCCCTAGGCATCTCTGGACATCAGGGATTATCAAGCAGGAATGCTTTCCGTCTTCCTACAAATTATATTTTAAGCTTGGGTTGGCAAAGGTGGGTACCCTCCTACCATGGAATGTTTGTTGTCATTGTTCAGGTGGTCAGTCTGTTTTTTGGTTACTTTTTAGAAACACGTCCTGTAGACAAAATTAATTCCCTTCCCTAATGCAAGGTATAGGGTTGAACCCTGGTGCCCAAAGCACCTACTGCAAAACCCAAGAAAGGACGATGACTGATGACTGATAGCCACCCAGGTCAAGAGGGCTGAGAGAGAGGTAGTCAAGCTGCAGCAGAGGGAGGCGTAGGACAGAGAGGGGGTAAAAGAGGCAGTCCGAGAGGGTAAACAGACCACCTGAAGGAAGAGAACCCAGCCATCAGTACAGAAAGATTAAATGAGATTGATAGTAAACCAGACCTGAAGGATAAGATTAAAAAGGCATAAAAATAAGAAGATAAAGCTAATGGAAGTGTTAAAGAGCTAAAGAAGTGCACAAGGAAAAATAATACACCCAAATAATTCCTCAAGGTCTAGGTCAACACAAAGGCAGGCTGGCATCTCAGCCAGCAGGCATGCCTCATACTCACATCCCCCTGTTCCTTGTTAATGTGGCTCCTCAATCACCAGGCCGAGGGTGCTTCATTTCATTGATGCCTTGCGGCCCTTTGGCAGTCTGCCAAGCTTAGGGCCCCCAGAATTATGTATTTAATGCTTAAAATGCAACACAGATGATTATAACACTACACACACACACACACACACACACACACACACACACACACCATTGTGACATACTAATGTACGTGTAACCCCAAGATCTATTGGTAGGACGGATGGATGGCTACCATCTCTCCTAAGTAGGGATCAGCAGCAATGCTGCTTTGAGATAACAGCTACAGCTGTGTCCTGATAGGAGAATATCTGATTTATATCAGTGGCAAAATTGCTCGGACTGCTGCTACATGTCAGGTTTGCAGCCTGCATTCATAACGGAATGAAATACTAAATGGTTGTTCAACGTTAGTAAACAAAGTTGTGGCTATTTTTCTATTGATAAATGCCCTAGG